GGGGTATGTGGTCCCGGGGTTTTTTCCTTTTTTTTTTTTTTTTTTTCATTAAAGGCCTGGAACTGGGCTGGGCAGGGCAGCCATGTGTGGGCTAGGGGGGCAGACAGGGGATCAGGCCTGGCAGGGGTCCTCCCATTGTCCTCTCTCCCCTCCTCCAGCCTGCCCCTCCCCTGCCCCCTACTTACCGACATGGAGTCTGGCTCCAGTTCCCTGCTGCAGCCACAGGGACTGTTCAAATCATCAAAGCTTTCAGAATCTTTTCCAAAGATTTGGAGAGCTTTGAATCGATTTGGACCTTTCAATTGGTCCCCTGATTCGATTTGAATTCAGAGATTCGGCCACCGAATCAGGCCAAATCTTCTCCAAATCTAATCAGCATCTGAAACTTCGCTCAGCCCTATTGTTTAGCTGTGTGAGGTCAACACATATCCTAATCTTACTATTGGGTTTTGGCACAACCACCATCCCAGAACACCAAGGAGCAGGTTGTTTGGTGTTTGCAATTACTCCTGTTTCTTCTATGAGTGTTTGCTCTTCTTTAACTTTGTCCATTAATGGCAAAGGTACCTGTATTGGAGTATTTAACGCATATGGAATGGCATCAGCTTTTAGGCATATCTGATATTCACCTGACATTTTTTCAAGACCAAAAAAGAGAGATGCATATTTGGTTCTGTAGTACTGCTCCAAGGATTTCTGGTCCACTATATCATCTAGTCAATGGACAAGTTGCAGTGCCTGTATAGCCGGTAAGCCAAGTAAAGGCATAGCAAGATTGGCAATCACATAGGCTTCCTGGTCTATACATCTCTGCTTCAGTGTCATCTTTGTGTTAAAGTGTCCCGGTACTTTGTGGGTAGTGTTGCCTGGTTCCCGTAGCTGTTTAGTAGGGGTAAGGAGAATCCCATCCCTTTGTGGGCTGTCGTAAGAATTAGGGATAGCTGAGACTGCTGCTTCTGTATCTATTTTAAATGGCATTGGCTGTCCATTGAGGTCAATTGGTGTCATCCGGACTCCTGGATCTGATGAAGACTCCGTAACTTCATCTAAAAGTACAGGCAGTCCTCAGACTTATGACACAATTGGTTCCTGAGAACCACATCTTAAGTCAAAATGTTGCAGCTCGGAACCAATTTTCCCATAGGAAACAATGTTATAAATGTGGGATTGGTTCCTGAACCAAGGCCCGATACCCTATTTTCACCAAAAATAACCCAGAATTTTGTACTCAATCAATTAAAGATGAGTAATATAGTTACATTAATGTATTTATATTGTAAATAGCAATCATATTGATTTGGGAGGACTTCTTTGAGGTGACTTGGCTGGACTTTTTGAAGGCTGCCTGGTTGGACTTTTTGAAGGATTGTTGGCTGGAGTCTTCTCAGGAGTTCTGGCTGCAGGTTTTCCTGGAGTCTTGTCTGCTTTCTTAAAGAAAGTGTCCAAGGAAACTTGGACAGATGGGAGATGGGTGACGCAACAAACTTTTTCGCTGGCATGGTGTGGCGTGGCATTGGATCAAGCATTATGAAGTCGAAACTGACGTCAGAAAGTTGAAACAGGGTGTCAAATTATAAATGTAAGTGCGAAACATTGTAAGTCAAAACATTGTAGGTTGAGGACTGCCTGTACTGTGCAATCCTCTCCATTCTGTTTTGTAACTTCAAAGACTCCAGTGGTGGAGTGACAAACTGAAGCATAGTGAACTTTCTTTATACATCGCTGACATATCTCTTCTGTAGCAGGAAACTGAGCATGACTGTGTCTTGGAGCTTGACCAAACCTGTGGCACTGGCCTTCTTTCCAACTTGTTTGTCACTGTGCGTGCTGGTGGGACCACTCCCTGGGTTTGTCGTGCCTGTCAATCCTATTTGTATTTGTTTGTTTGTAGTTTCTTTACAGTGTTCATTGCATCCATATTAACTAATGCCTGACAGGACGCAGAATCACTCCTGATTTCTCTTTGTTGCTGTTTGGTGATTAGCTCTGATTGATGACCCTGTGGGATAGCCTTGTGGAGCATTAAATCAAGGCCAAAATCATCTTTGTGAGAGCTCTGTATCATGAAGCCCCACAACTAAGCAGTCCCTAATTAGCTTCTCCTTAAGCTCCCCAAATTGGCAGGATTCAGCCAGTGTATACTAAGCTGAGATGACTCTGTCCACAGGTTCTGAAGGTTCCTGTTTATGTAGATTGAATCTAGCTCATTCATAAATCACATTTCTTTTGCCCAGAAAATGATCAGTTAATGCTTCTATCACTGCATCATATTGCTTTTTCTCTGCATTTTTAACACGCAGTGCCAGCAGAATTTCATCTGCCTGATCTCCCATAGAATAGACAAGAGTACACACTTAGTAAGCTTCTGACTGTTTGTCCAGATCTGAAGAGATTAAAATGTCTGGAAATCAAACTGTGCTGATGGTACAATTTTGAGTGCCTGCATGGTCTCTATTGCCAGCCTCAGCACTGTACTGGGCCCTGCTGCAGGTTGAGCTGTCCCCCATCTCTGCTCTGCATTAAATTCAGCTGTTGCTAGCAGTGGTGATGTCAGGGGTGCATGGAGGTGCATGTGCACCCCCTGAGAGCACTGGTGCACCCCCTCACAGCCAGCATTCCCAGGCAAGGGGGCAGGTGAGAGCGCTAGTGCCCCCCCCCCCAAGAGTGCCGGCTGGAGAGTGGGGGCGCCAGGAGAAGTGGTCCCCCCTGTTGCTGATCGTGCTCACTCAGAAATTAATTCATAATTAATTAATTACCCCCTGACTCAGGAGGCACCAGTCAGTCATGGCTGCTAGAGTCTGATACATCATTTGGGAATCACCTGTTTGATTTCCTGTTGGTGGCAGGATTTAGCCATTTCAGACACCATGTGTTATTCTGGATCTTAGGAAGAGGCAGAGAGACTCCCTTTTCTCATTAAGCCTTCATTGTAACAACTCCTGAAGCCAAAATGGTCGACTGACCACTTCCTGTGGATGACATCACACTTTGAGTTAACCCTTACTCCTACAAGTAAATGCTTGTTTCATGGAGTTAGTTCGGTGTCCTCCATTGTGCAATACATGCCTTAATGAATGATGTCTAGCTTGCGCATATCTTCTCTGAAATGTAGGTGGCAGCTATGTGTCCTTTTCCCACTCTTTTGGATAGGTTACTACTTCACGTGCAAATGAGTGAAAACAGGTTTTTTAAAAACCTACTTCACATTAAAGTGTTCAGAGGGTGGAGAATTTTAGTCCTTTGTGATTGATTGCCCCATCCTTTGAACTGTTCTCCCAGTCTTTATTATAGCAATAATTGTTCTGGAATGTACCCGATTTGGTTCTTTGATGGGTGTGTAAGCTGTTTCCACATTCTTAAACTCCTTATTCCTTGTTCATCACTATTCTTAAAGTAATGATCAGCATAATATACTTCTGCTAAAAATGGTTGAATAGTTTCTGAGTTTTTGATTAACAGTTTTCTTTCCCATGCTGCATGCTTTTTCTGAACAGCATTGTTTCATGCACAGAACTAGGCTTTCCACTAAATCTGTTTAAAACAGGTTTACTTTTTTGCACAGGCTAAAATAAATGGGGTTGGGGAACATTGCAGAAACCTTCAAAGTAAATACTTTGAGG